TAGATGAACACCATGACGTAGATGAACCGGAAGCTACGATTGCTGCATATACGGAAAATTCTGTGTTGACAATCGTTAAGAAAATCCATATCGATAAGAAAATAAACATTGAATTTAAACTGAAAAAAAATTAGGTTTAAATTAGGTTTTTGAATTTTTTTTTTTTTTAAATTGAAAATTAAATTTTTTTAAAATTACAAATCGGTATCTTTCGGATGTAATAATTCTTTGACATCTCTTATTATTTGAAAAAGCGGAAATAATCCCATTCCCGCCAAAATTAATCCGGCAATGAAAAAAACGTCGCCTATCAATGAAATGTAGGGTAAACGACTTCCACAATCTGAACCTTATTAAAAAAAATTATTATTACTAACATAATAACAACAACAACCAACAAACTTTTACAATCACGCAAATAATAATAATAATAATAATTACTTTACTTACGCTGTGTTGTTACGTGTGACATTTTTATTATTATTTTTTTTTTCATTCGTTTACGAAAGTTAATTTTCTATTCATTTTGTTTAAACAATTTTTTTTTACTTATTTATACATAGATTAAATAAAATATATTTTAAAAAAATAAATTAAAAAAAAAAATTAAAATAAATAAATAAAAAAGAGAGAAATAAAAAAAAATTAGGTTATAAAAATATAAATAAAAATATAAATTTAAACAAGGCTGTGAAATTCGAGTAAATTTCATTCGTCATCATTATTATTATTAAGTCATAGAGTAAATTTTAAAATGGCGATCGTAGGATTGTAATTAATAAACGTTTTTATTAGGAACTAAAAAAAAAATAAATAGGAAAGAAAAAAATTTGACTTTTTGTTTTTGTTTATTGAATGAAAATTTTTTAAAATTATTTTTTAAAATGAAAATTAATTTAAACGGATGTTGTGGGTTTTAACAGTAGTGCCAACCTTCCTCTTGCGTCATCTAAAAAAAAAAAATTAATTTTTCTTCTGTTTTCCTTTTAAATCTCTTGTAAAATCAAAAAATTTTTTTTTTACCTTTGAAAACTTCGATTGAAAACATGGATTCGTCTTTTATGTTACCAACGACTTCATCTGTTATAAGAACTTTTATTTCGTTTGGTCCCAATAAAAACATGTCGTGAATTTGATTATGATGTATTCCCAAAAGTGTCCCTAATTTTTTTATCATTTCCGCTTTTCCGATTTGATCCAAATAAACGGCGTAATAAATGGATGACGTTGGAGTGCATATGTAAAGAGTTAAACGTACTATGGCTCTGTGAATGAATGATATAAAGCGATTAAGGAAAAACAAACGAACAACAAACAAACAAACAAGAATAACAAATTTTGTTTTTAGTTTTCATTACTTCGAATGCAAAGCGTAAAGAAGTCTTATACCATCTGCTAAACCGCAAATTTGTATGAGATCGTCTCGGGTAAGACGAAGAATGTCGGCTCCTGTGAAATTTGAAAATGTTGTCACGTGACTACCAAAACTATTTTTACGAAGCCATTGAGAAGTTTGCTGACAATTTGATTCCGGTGTAAGTTTCTGTTGAAAATTTTATGCGGAAAAATTATTACAGCAGCAGCAGAAGAAGGAGCAACAAAAAAAGGAAAATTCGTGACAACTTACAATGACTTGAGGACTGGAACTTATATCCGAAGATTGTGATATCGATGGAGATCTGGATTTATTATCATTTATTGTTTCTGGAGAAATGACTCGATCGGATTTAACAGCAAATGTCGAATTCGATACGATTTGTGATCGAATTTGATTATGTAAAATCATGTTTGATTCGCTGGAAAAACAAAAAAAATTTTTTCTTCTTACACGAACGGGAAATTATTGGCGCACGTTTATTTCTTTAACAAATTCACGTAAGTAAATTTTTATTAAATTCAACGTTAGATGACTTATTTATATAACGTTATTTAAATTAATATCAAGTTCATTTAATATTTTCGTTTGTCAATTTTATTTTTTTTTTGCTGTCGTTTAAATTTTTCTTTTATTCACTTCACTGTTTTTTTTTTTTATTTTGCTTCGATTAATGATTTTTCATTTTCTCTTTTTTTACTCTTTACGACGCGAACGATTATTATGTTTCATTTTTAAGCATAAACTGTCATTTAATAGAAAATGTTTGAAAACATTATCAATGTACAACCGGGGCAAACTGGATCCTCGTCGACCTTTTTT